AAAAGACAAAAAAAAAGTTACTTCAGCGTGATGCCCCTTTAACTCATATCAGATGTCCTAGATGTATAAATAATTGTTTGTGTTATGTATACATTTTTGTGTGTTTTATGTATAACTGCATTTATCTTTTAGATAATTGTTCACATTATGTGAAATAATTGTTTGCATTATATGTATAAATAATTGTTTGCATGAATGATTCTTGAATTCAAGATAAATTCTTAATGCAAAAACAAATGCCAAAAGTAGGTATCAACAGTAGAGTATTCCCTTCCAAAATAAAGAGAGCAAATCAGAGAGATGTTATTAATATAAATAAGAATTTGAATGCATCACACGAAAGAACGCTTTGATTTTGTATTACAAAATTGAATCATTTTGAATAAACATGAAAGTCCCCAATCATTGAAAAATATCATCAAGTTTTTCCTACTAGAAAGGAATAATGATTTACCTTTCAAGGAAGAAATGTCATTCTATATTCAGTGCTGTCCAACCATTCGACATGAAACTGTAACATTAAGCAAATCTAGTACCACAACAATAGTTCTGCTTGTTTGATACACTAGACATGAACATACTTTTATAGCTGTATGAGATTCCTGATATTTAGTTGAGGGTAGATAGAAATTGGTTAACAAACATTTTGTTTTCTAAAACCTTTCATTTCAGACTCAAAGTATCAAAAGAAAAACAGAAAAAGAGCACTGAAGTGCCATTCCAGCCTAGAACCTGACCCCAACATAAAGGCTATATCTATGTAAGTTTCAACTCACAGTTCATGTAATGTGTTTGCCAGCTGCACAGTATTACATAAGAGAATTTCAATACTGATTATATTGTTGTTTCATTGCATTGATGGAAACTACTTTTAATCTTTTGTGTAGTGCCTTGTCCATTTTGTTATAAATTAGTTTAAATTAATCCCCATGAAATATGGCTAACCCATAGAAAACAGAACTACAGTATTGTTTAAGATATATTTGTATTAGAACTATTTGTATCGGTCCTGGAAAATATTAAGGAAGTTCTATAATCACATTATGGAATTTTTGTTTCAAAGAAATATATATTTTTAACAGTATTTAAGACTTGGACATGGTCTGAGACCATAACATGATCCTGATACCAGATATGTGAAATGTTTGGAGATATCTCAAGATACATGTTAAAAATTAAAACATGTCAATAATTTCAGCTCCCACAATATAAGGAAAATACAACCCGAAGTAGAAAGACTAAGCAGAAAGATAAAAAGTGGTAAACAGACATTAACAGAGAAACAAGCAGTAAAACAGCGTAAAACAAGAAACCAACAAAGGGCAGAGGCCCGCAGAAACAAAAATAAAGTACCGGTAGCCGACTATGACTTGTGGGAGACAGGTAAGGACATTTATAATTACCTGAGAGATTGATTGATAGGTTTTACGTCCACTTCACTACCGAGTCGTTTG